GAGAGGAAAAGAAAAAAGAAAAAGAAATAAAGGAAGGAAAAAGAGAGAAAGAGAATGTAAAAATTCTCATTCATAAGAAAAACGTTTGTTATCGAGTAGCCATCTTTCTTGAAAGAATGTTTCTAAAGGACATTTCGTGATACTCAAGAAATATAGCAAGTTAACACAGTAAAAAGCGTTTTTATTTGGCACTACTGCTTAGCAACTTTACACTAAATGTTTGCAGACATTTGTCATTTGTTAAATAAGTTAAGATCTAAATTTACGTCTAAAAATTATCAATTTTCAAAATTCTTAGGAGTAAATATTTAGAGACCTAAATCTGATATACCACAACAAATTTATCTATCATTCGTAATGAATCAGACCTTGAATGAGCAGGAAACGTACCAAACAGTAACACTCAAATGATTTCCACATTCCAGCGCCGTGATTGGTTGATGTGCACTTACCTGCTTTTGATTGGTTCAGGGCAGAAGCCATTTGAATGCCACTGCACTATGCGATACGTTTCCAACTTATCAACTTATTATAAATATTCTCTGTGATTATTCAAGGGCGGATCCAGAAATGGGTTAGGGGTTCGTCCCAAATGAAGAAATGTATATAGATATATTATGCATCGTAAATGTTTCTTGTAAAAGCCTTCACACGAGTCATGCTTCAAAAAAGCGTAAGAGTAACTACGACATTATGGGGGGGGGGGGGGTGTCCAGAGAACCGCAGGACACTCCCCTGGATCCGCGCCTGTTATTACTTGTAATAAATAATTCCTATTCATCTCCGATGACGGAGCATTTAGTTCAAAACTTTAGAAGAACAATCAAGGGTTGCGGTAAATAGCTTGTAAACTAGCTGGGCTATTAAAACTACGTTAATTTAAATTTTAAAAATCGTTAAAGGACAATTAATCTACAAACGGATCTACTTGACAAATCCTAATAACAAGCTTTAGCTGCAGTAAGATCACGTCAATTGCATTTACATATAGGCTACTGTGACTCTCTGCCTTGCGCACCTTGCATTCAATTTGGGTGTCTTCCAAAATAGTTAGTACTCCTAAGATACAGTCAAGCATTGTGATCCCCAGTGGATCCCATGATACTTTGTGCCCCTCTGCTACAATCAAATAAGGGCTGCTGTGATCCTCAATAAACACCAAGATGGCATGCGCACCTAAGCTACGATCAAATAAGGGCTGTTGTGATCGTCAATGGATCCCAGGTTGAATTGCACGCGTAAGCGTCTGTGACTTAAGACCTCTTAAACCCTCAATAGATCCCGAGATGCTTTGCACACCTATGCTACAATTAAATAAGAGCTGCTGATCCTCAATGGACCCCAAGATGGCTTGCGCACCAAAGCTTCTGTGACTTAAGACCTCTCAAACCCTCAATAGATCCCGAGATGCTTTGCGCACCTAAACTACAATTAAATAAGGGCTGCTGCGATCTTCAATGGATCTTAAGATGACTTGCGCACATAAGCTTTCCTGACTTAAGACCTCTTAAACCCTCAATAGATCCCGAGATGCTTTGCGCACCTATGCTGCAATTAAATAAGGGCGGCTGTGTTCCTCAGTGAATCCCAAGATACTTTTGGAGCTAAACCTTTGTGATTTATCTGTCTAAGGATCGACAAACGTGATCTTCAATAATCTTCATAAATCTTCGTAATCTACTCTCTAAGCTACTAATTCATTTGGTATTTGTTCTTGTTCATGGTTCACGGCATTATGGTAGCCATAGTGTCGATCGTATTGAATATCTGTCTACCTTTTCTTGCTTTAAGCCAAAAGGACGGACTCACTGTACAATCCTCGGCTGCTGAAAATCAAATTTCCCCAAGTCTATTCTTCTCCACTTCACTTAAACCAAGAGGATCCTTCAGAAGGTCCCAGGAAACCGCCAACACGTGTCTTAAGAAATCCCACTAGGGACCCCTCCTCGGGCTCTTTGGGCTGATTAAGATTCTTACTCTCTTCTGGCGTCTCGCGGGAAAATATTTTACCTAAAATTGATTTCTCTCCTTGGTGATTATCTTCTTGAGTCCTGCTTCTGTTAGCCACCTTGGTACTTTCTGCCCCTAATTGGAATTTTCTGTCATGAAGGCTTGGCATTGATTGTGTGTTAGGGCTGAACATGGGAGAACTGGGCCGCTGTTGTTTGTTGCAGTTTTCTTTTTCGTAATCGTCGCTCTCGTTTAAACCAGATGATTGAGATGTGAGGTCTAGTGACTGCGATTTCACTGACAAGTAAGAGGTATTTGCGTACTGGTATGGATTGGTGTAATCTTGATAGACAAGTTTGTCAGTGGACGCGACGTCTTCCCTGTCGTATTCAGCTTCGTGGCTGTATTCACTACTCCCTATTCCTTGTTCCTTCTCTTTCTTCGCTGCTGCTCTCTGCGCTTTCTTTATTTGTTTCATCCTCCATGTCGTGTAGTCCATGGCTTCAATGTCCTCGGGTGTCATCAATTCTTCTTCTTCATCATATCTTTCTTCCTGTTCTGGTAGATTTTCCTCGGAGTGTTGCATGCCGTAGTCTTCTACTTCATTCCTACTCCCAAAATCTTCTCTAGCGTCTTTGGACATCTGTTCTATCTGGCTCGTAAACATACCAATGGCTGATTCGTCAACGAGTACTGTTTCCTGTTCTTTTGGAGTAGTCATTTTGGAAACATCACTCAACGACTTCAACAAACCCTTCAAGGAAATTCCTTCTCCAGTCTCGACGCTACTTCCCTGAGTTCCAAAAAGTGAATCTACAACTTTATTCCTGTTCTTGGTATTTTCAGAATGGATTTCTACATGCGGGAGAGAGACTCGCCTCTTTGGCAAACGATTACTTGCAGAGTTCATGAGCGGAACTTTCACGCCATCATTAGCGCTGTTACCTTTGCCGTATTCTGTAAGCTTCAGTTCTGATTGGCACCTCTGTGGAATTCCTAGAGCTCCGGGCTCATGAACGATACTTACAGACTGAAGCTTTGGTACGTCATCGTTCTTGTCTGCCGCGAGTGGAAGCTCTAGTTCAGAGGCTAAGAGTTTAAGTTTATTATCTTTCTTACTCCTTTTGTCTTCTCCATCGAGATTACCGGTTTTAGGTTCGTTGACTGTGGATTCATCTTCTTCTGGTCCTGCTACGCTCCACACAGACTTTCCAATCCCCTTCAACGTAGACGAAATGGTATCCGCAATCATTGAAAACGACATTTCTGAGTCGTTCTGGATTTCCTCTTTTGGTTTTGTGAAGTAAACTGGAATATTCATCTCAGACTTTCCCATGTACATCACTCTACTACTGGACGAATTATCTGCCTTACTGTTAGTATTGAGTTTGTTGTTGGTTTGTTTATTGGTGCTAATCTTTGGAACATCAAGATTAATCGAAGATGGGATGGTACCATTTGGCGTAGTGCCGTTCGGGATGATGTTGATTTTGGAAATGCTGCTTCTTTCATCTTCTGTGGCGTCGTCCTCTCGGGAGAAGTTGGAGACGGACAACATTGAAGGACACCTGTTGTTGTAGTGAACCGTGTGAAATGTTGAGTCCATCCCATTTTCCATTCTTCTCCTTCTCTTTCTTTCATCTCTTAGTCTGGCTCTCTTTCTTTTGATTCTCTTGTGAATGGCAACGGATATGCCCACAGGAATCCCAACCACAAACATGAGCATCAAAATCGGCATTAAATGCTTGAGAACACCCCATTCAAACTCATTACCATCGTCCTTTTTCACTTGATCACACGGACCAACCAGCTTCAACTCAACACTTGAAATAAGAAATTTTTCTGATAGAGCCTTTTGGAACGAAGGGTTGACTCCCCCGGAACTCGTAGCAAGTTTGTTATGAATGTTTTGCAGGCGGGTCTTATCACAGGGGGAGTACGGTATTGTGTTGAGCGTCAATGTTATTTGTTTGTGTTTTTTGTTATAAGATTTTATCCAGACGCTGCTAACATCATCATCAATAGCATACCGTGCAAACCTTGAAACGAAATCAAAGCGCACCCTCACATCTGATACAAAATTCAACAGATGAAACTTGGTTCTTATCACGAACTCATGGTTATGATTGCTGTTGCTCTTGCGAACATGAACCCGAAGAATATCTGCTGCAGATTTGCCGTCAGAATTCGTTGCTTTGAGCAAAAATCGAAACGTCCCTTCGTTCCCAGGAAGAGGAAAGCCATAAACGTTCCTTGCTTCTGAGTCGAAATGAAGCCAGGAGTTCCGAGAAATCATCCCTCCATTTATAGTAAACATACTCAGTTTCAAGTTCTCTCTTCGTCCGACATAATACGTCGGGTAAAACGTATCATCCGGGATAGTGAACCGGAAGCCCTGGCCAACAAAGGAAGCGACTTGGTCCATGGGTTTCAAGAGCAAAGGAACGGGCTGGGCTGCCTGTGTTATGGGGTGAGTAGCGTTTGACCGTGAGGGACTAGTGAGAGTAGGTTTGGCGGTTGAATTTATTGATACCATTGAGAAAAATAACTTCAAAACAGCCAGTGCTTTTGACATGAGAGAAGAAAGTTGGAGTGGATGAGCAGACAGAAGTGTTAATCATTGCCTCGATAGTTGTCGGCAGGCATTCGAGTGGACTGCTTTTCTTTTTCTTTCACGTATTCTCTCATCTAAACCTGACAGAAAGAAAAGAAAAAAAAAGACGCTTAGAGGCAAAGGTAAACTGGAAGTGATTTCGGGAGGTGAGAATGAGAGGTGGGAAGTGAACGAAGTGTGCAAGTCATGTGGCAGTCATGTTAAATGCTTTGATTCTTGTCATCCAACATGGCGGCCACCACTGAAGACTAAATAGCAGACATTAGAGGAACAGCCTTCAAACAACTACTTCAAATCGAGGCATTTGGGTCAATACAATGAAATGTATTGAAACAGACCCAAAATGCAATGTAACTCTGATGTCTGCTATTCTTGAAATTCTTTTTAAAAAATTTAAAATCTTTTCCCCTGAGTAATTCTATTGGAATTTGGTCATTTGGTGCTGATTTACGACATTTTATGAATGCAAAAATAGTGGAAAAACGGAATGGAATGAAAACAAAAGCAACCACAAAAGCTTCTAGCTTCAAATCGTCGACAGTAGATTCTTTTCAAAATCAACAACAAATCCAACTGTACACTGACAATAATTCGATCAACGTCTGCATTTCTCTCTTTCATAAATGAGCTTTTTATCCAATATATATTTCGTTATATCTCATTCAGCTGTTTGATTACTTGGTGGATTTGGTTACTAAGACATTAATAATGGATGTAATGAATAGTGTATCAGTCGGGCGATGGCTTCTCTGGGTTTTTTCATATTCAATTTGACCGCTACGTGTGTCATACTCTCAGAATTTGCGTCATTTGGAGAGTCGAGTGTCAAACTCTCTTCATTCTCTTAACATCAACGAAACCATACTTGAATATGACTTGAATATTATTCTATATAAGGCACAAAAATCTAAAAATACCTTCAAATCACAATTTATTATTTCCCTTAAATATTTTTCTCTGATTCGTAAAAATCCACAGAGAAGCCAAGGCACGACAAGCCGGTTAATTTTGTGAAAATGAAATCTAGCACTAACTTAGTGTAAATATAAAGTGTATATAATGGGAACACGGGAGCGATTTTTTTAAAAAAGCGTGTAAGATATTGCTTAAAATATATATAAAATCACAACTTATTTAATTAAGATTAATTTTACTACTTCAATCTTTATGGTAAATTTATTTATTTTATTTCTATATTTAGGTAAAAACCGTGGTTTAAAACACAACAATATTGAATAGAAAGTTTTTTTGAAAARCTTGTTTAGAAAATGAGAGCTCTTTTATGGCTTTCCTAAAGTGATGTAAATGTATTTCAGGAAATTGTCTATTGTGAGAATATCCCCTCCCCCCCAAAAAACAAAGGAAATTAGCTTCAAAATTTCGACGCAACTGATTTTTTTCCCTACTCCTCTTTGAAAGAGCTTGAAGTATACAATACATTTTTGAAATCAATTATAAACATTTCGATACTCTAAATTATTTGAACTATTCGGCCTTGAAAATAGTTGATAATTGCAGCAAGCTTTAATTCATATATGCTTTGTAAACTACAGAAAATAGAAATTTTTGGTAAGACATTTTGGAGATATTCTTTTGYTTTTCAAAAGAAAACGGCTTTCAAGCTCACGAACTTTTCGATCTAGGATTTTTTTGCTAGACAACAGCAGGTGAATTCAGTAAAAAGAAAAACTAATTGATATCCAAAGTTTTTAACACAATCCACACTAAAACCTTTCAAGCAAATTATAATTACATTTAGATTATTAAGATTTATATTTCTTCGAAATAAGGATGTTTCAGATTTGCAGTGCTCGTCGTTCAAAAAGCATGGAAAACCAAAATCTTGAAAGTCGAAAGTTTGGTTTACTTATCTGAGATTTCTATGTTATAATAGAAGCATTCTTCTTGCAAATCGACATTATTGTCTCGTAAATTAAGAGAAAATCAATTAAACATGTTCATGGACACTCTTGCTTCTTTACAAATGCTTCCAGACCTTTTTTAAAAGCTATTTTCTTTCTCTGTTGGTATGTAAGTCGTTGTTCTTGATACTTGGGGAAATTTAGTTCAAAGTCAGATGTTTTTGCTTAGATATAAGTAGTTTGAAGAAAGACTAAAATATTCTTACCTTGAATCAATTTTTTTTTTATCCCATCGGAAAATATAACTCAGATTTTCCTTATTTATGCATTCATAAAATTCCTGAAGAGCAATAGCTATGTGGACTCATTCATAGAGCTCGATGAACACTCTCTTCCAGAGGAGTTAGTAAATAATTCACCAGCAAATCTCCAAGATATTTCAGATGACGCCCCGTCTAGGCTTTTTTCTCTACAAAAACCTTCACAATTTTTGGGGAAAAGCGAATTAATATTTAATAAGTATAAGAAGTATTGGCGTGTTCAGTGGGAGATTATCACGTGATATAGGGTATTCAGAAACTCATTTATAAAGCTTATATAAAACCCATTTTTTCTCGTTTAGGAAGATTATTAGTTGCAATGATAAGTACAGAATATGGCTAACCAATGGCTTTGTGCTCCGGCTTTGGGTGCTAAGTTTAGATTTAAGAAAAAAATTGTTTATTTTTTGGGGTATTTTCTTTGTTTATTCTTTAACCGATATTTATGTTTCTATTTTAAGGAAAACGCTGTTAAGTATAATTATGTAATCTAAAACTATTCATCATTGAGCAGAAACTCCCGATACTTTTGATTTTCTTTTCACTTACGAGCCTAGCAATTTTGAGTAAAGAAATTGCAAAGTTTGTCATGCCTATTTAGAGATACACTACACTGCAACATGCAAAATTAATCTTGCAATATTAAAATTGTTGCAGGAAAATGTTGTTTCTTCATCATTGCAAAATAATGTTGGAGCTTATTTGGCAAAGCATGTTTCGAAATTCATAAATTTCGAGTTGAGAATGAATTAATTTCTGCATGCAATCCCTGAAAATAATTTTGTCTTCCGGTCGGTGTACAGGAAAGGTATTTCAAATCAAAATAAATAAATAAATAATCAAAACTTTGTATTTTATTTATTGCACTGGTATGCACATTAGAACTCCCATGGGCCCTTCTAAAGAGTACCATGGATACGAGACTAAAATGGAAATATAAAAGAAATGACACGAATTCCATCGCGAAAAAGCGTGACTTCTTTTGTATTTTGCAGGTTAGCCTCGTATCCACGATACTTTCGAAAAGGGTCCAATAAGTGGTCACCTATTGCGCAGCACCTATAGTCGCTGTTAAGGGACAATTTGTCAAATTCCCAAATAATTTTTTTATAAATACCTCATTTAAGCCACCAACCATTATTTTGACAATTACCCGAGGGAAGCAGTGCGACTGTAATTCCAAAAATACCTTAATGATTACACTGTTCATCACATACTAGACAACAGTGGAGCCCCAATCTCGTACCAAGAGCCTGCGTTTCTTCGGGCCCCCCAGGGCCCCTGACGTTATACGCATGCGTATCAGCCTATTACCAAACAATATAAGGCAGATATCAGGTTGAACACAGATCAAAAGCGTTTCTGATATTTGGAACACACAAAACCATATTTTCAACAAATTATGAAATCTTAAAAGGCTTTTCTTATCAGCTAGACGTCGTTTCATAGGATTAGTGCCGGTCTACACGTCATGTTCTTGTTTGAGCATGCGCATTTCTTCGTAATTGAAACCCACATGGGCTATCTCAGAAACATTAGTTACTTCACTTTGTGTTTTGGTGAATCATTATCATTATAAAGTGTCAGTGTATAAAGTATTACATTTTTCAAATACTTACATTGACTGCTTCCCTTTACAAATTTCCCATAATTAAATATGTAGGGAAATGCATAATATAAAATGCAAAGAGGTATAAAAATGTATTAATTTCTTCCAACAAAAAAATTAAAATTTCTATGTATTTTCTCTGGAATATTTATTATRTGAGATACTGGAGCGTTTTCACGTGACGTCACAACGGCAATTATGGGGTAACAAAAAAATACATTTTCTATCCTCCGGGAATTGAACTCTATTTTTATGCAAATACTGTGCAGAAAGTTTCTATTGTTTATGGCTGCTTTCTGACGTGAGTGAAAACGCTCTATGGAAAACCAGACATGTATCGAATAAGATGCTGCTATATTTATTGATGAATGAAAACAATCAATTACACAGTAAAATTCCATCGAGAGAGAATGGAATACTACGACGATACGGCGGCCATCTTGGATCGCAAGGCATCATGGGAGTCCAGGGGGGCAAATATAGCTTATTTATTGAATAAATAATGGGCGTTTGATATAAACAGCTCAACAGAAGAAGACTTAAGACGGCAAATCAACCACCTTTACCCATAAAAGAAAGACTATCACAAACTCTATATATTTTCCGTCATCTTTTCGTTTTGTTTTGCCTACTGACAATAAGATGGCTGTCGTATCGTCGAAGTTGTCCAGAGAAGCTCGTTACCAAAACTAGAGTATTTTTAACTTCCTCTTTTTCTTTAGGTCGTGCGTGAACGTAAATCAGGAAGAAACAAACAAAGACTTGTTTTTGTTTTTTTATGTAAGTTAAACTATCGGGGTCTTCCTTGTGGACCCACGCGGAAAAGCCCAACATTTGTTTAGTTTATGTAACCTTTTCTGTTCAGTGTCCCACATGGAGCAAAGCAGCCACGGAAATGAAGTAATTAAGGGAATTTGAGAAATGTTCCGAAATTTTTAGACTGCTGCCAGGTTTTATTAGCATCGGAGACCAAGTTGGAAACCATATGGTTGCTAAGGAGATTATAACAGCGTCTAAGGTTTCTAACTTTAGAAAAACAAAACACTCTTGTATGAATAAAAGCACAAATAGTACAGTATACTAGGTTTTTCAATTCCCAAAGAAACATCAAGAATGCATGAGTAATCGCGCTATTTGGCTATTAGATTGTTTCATGGATATGTGCACTCTTGTCATATCATTTTGTGAATAGATAACGTATTTCCAACTTGTATCTTATTTGTATTTAAAAACGATAAAAATGAAGAAAATAAACGCATAAATTGCTGGACGTT